TATTATAAATTAAATTATATTTTGTATTTTGAAACTAAATTTGTTTATACAGGATGAAAGGATAAAGATGGTACAAATGGAAATACGATTCTTAATAATTTTCAAACTCAAATAATCCACTTCTTGTATGTTATTTTCATACATTTGCCCCAGTGCATTCACAATTAATAGAATACCTACAAATGTTAGACTCTTTTTTGGAAAAACGATCAGGCACCTCATATAATATTTCCAAATGCACATATTTTAAAATAAAAAATTATACAGAGCCTCTGAAATGGGAAATACAGCATGGACATTGGTTTTAAATCTGATGCCATTTTTGAGTTTATAGCGTATTAAAACCCACAAAATACTAAAATTGTTAGTTATTTTGAACACTGCTTAAAAAATCTGTTTGGGTTTCCATTTTTTTGTTTTATAAATAATACTATTAATAATGAGTAAATTTAAAAGTAGTTTAATCTAATTTGCTCTAATTAAAGTGAAATTAATAAAAAAGCGTATCTTGTACCGTCTTTGTGCAATCAAAATACATATTCAAATATGGGTGATTGCACCATTTATTAAGGCTTTTTTGAAAGTATGATGTGAAGCAGAAAATGTTATGCCAAATTATAAGCTTGTACCAAAGAAACTTCTAAAAATGGCTGAGTTTTTGAGAAAAGAATCATACTCTAATGATGAACAAAAATTGATTCATTTCTAAACCTTGTTTAATTTACTTCTTATTTTTGGCATCACATTATCATTCACATTATAGTTAGCAGTTTATATTATGTTTGTAATTAGGTCTAAATTGCAGAAACAGATTCTCATAAACCAATTCAAGCTGCAATATGTATATAAAATTAAATAAATTTAAGCAAAATAAAGTATTTAATGTAAAAAATTAGTTTAAAAAAAATGTCAAATCAAATTTTTACAAAAATGTGTTTTTGATCTCATGACGATATGAAAGATAGTGTTTCTCCTGGAAATATTTAAAATAATTGTTTTGGGTCGCGAGTTGGGTCATGTTCTATTCAATTAATGAAAATTCTAAGTATGCAGCAAAACTAACTAAAATCACTGCAAAAAGACTTTCTATCGAGCTCAATTTTAATTCTAACGAGTCGTTGAAGTAAAAGCAACTAAGGTTTATTTCATATCTGTATAATACATAATAGCACAGAAGCTTAATAGATTTCAATGCACTTTTGTTAAAATATCTATTTCTCATATGTGTTTTGTGTTAATCTACATTTGAACTTTTCTCTTTGATTGTTCAACAATGTTGCATAATACTGACGTGTACGGATAGACCTAGAGGCTTTACTGAATAGTTCAAGAAGAAACAGCATGATGGAATATTGTTATGCCAAATTTACTAGAAAACGAGAGTCGGAACACTTTCAGAACTGTTTGTTTAGTTAGGTTTTATTCAAACGCACTTTAATTCCAGCCCATTTTAATTCCATTTTATATCCATCAAGCTAATGTGCTCAGTGCTGTTTTATCTAAAGATATTTTTAACTTTGCGTGCCGCTGTCACAAACCGACTGATTTCTTTACATCGTTGTTCTGAACTGAAATGAACTTTTCCCTCATTTTGATAAGTTGTGGATAAAAATTGTTTTGAAATTTCGATAGTAAAACGCATTCATTATTCCTGCCTATTTATTCAATTTGTTTGCTGATGATACTTGGAAACGTGAAAAAAATGATTGAATTTTATGCTTTCTTTGTCGAAACATTTGTGTTAACAGCATTTTAAACATTTTATTTAACCCGTTATATCTTTACTCGAAAGATATTAGTTAAGAATAGCTGGTCTGGTGGTTAACTTACTAGGGATTAGATAATCTCTTTGTGTGAATATGAAGAGGTTTTCCACCACGTGCCTGAGGGTTCAGTATTTAAAAAAAAACCTTAAATTTGATCAGTTTCGCAAATATTGCAGAGTAATTTGTTTATAGGGCATTTAATATGTTCTCTTGTAGCAGCAGGTACGTGAAAAAAATTATTCACTATTTACTGTTTAAACATAAAATATATTTGCTTAAACATATTTTAAACCCAAATATTTATCCTCCTGGTTCAAAAATCTAAATTGTTAAAAGTGTGTTAAAGCCTTCATATACTAATGGCTTCAATCACTAAGTTTTATGCTATTATCCCCCTAGCTAAATAAACTACAGGAATCAATGAATACTCGGATGAATCGCTTTAAACAAGATTGCATTGGCTGGCTCGCTCGTAAGCATTGCATGTTTTTCACATTTAATTTAGGACATTCTTATCTAACATGGTTAACTAAAAGCAAAGTTGTGTATTACTATCAAGGTAGGTGCGTATTACGCCCCGAATAAATTTTTGGTTTTAATTTTGCTTCCACCATCGAGTATAATTTTTCCTCATTAGTGTAACTTTTTAAATCAGTGAAAACAAACAAAGAAAATGCTTGCTGAAAAAAACCGATATTGATATAATGATACATGAAATATTGGTAGAAAATAGTTTTTCGTTAATGTTTAAATAATTGTAAATCAAATTAAGATAAAAATTAAGTTTTTACGGTTTAAGCAAGGAGATAGACAAAATGGTAGTCAGCCTAAGTAGACTTTTTCAAGTCACTTCGAATATACACTCAGAGGAAAACGTAGCACGTCTGATTTTTTGGTAAATTGCCGCTTAATTTTTAATGCGAAAATGTAGTAATTGCTTTTTAAACAGCGTCTTCTTCTAAACATTCGCTTGAATAATTGTTTGTAGATGTTTCAAGAAACTGAGAAAAAAATATGTCTCGGTGCTGCCTCATTATCTGTTATGGAAAATATCGAATCACTATTTATCGTATATTTACTATACGAAGGATTAAGTTATAAACTAAAAAAAATGATATCAAATTTAGTTAATCGGTATAAAAGTTAGATAAAATCGGGTGCGCCACTTTTTTTTGGAACTGAGTGCATGTATAGTGCGATATATTTTGAGCATTATTTAACGAATTAGCTTTATTGAAGCAATTTTGAATCTCAGTTAAATTATTTTGTAAGTTAAGTAATAAATTTAAAACCCTGATTTAGAGCTGGGTACTTGTACCTATATCATATCACTGCACCTTATGAAAATACTAACATCGAGGGAATTCAATATAAATGGTAGGATTAATTAATGCACGATATCGTTGGGAATTCGTTAACTCACATTTCAATAATCAGTTAATTGTTTCAAAGTGCGAACTACATGCTCAGAACGGACAACTAATAAAAGGAAACTCATTGTTGTTTGCATCTACTTGTAGTCATCTTTGAATTTCAAACTTAATGCCGGGAGGTATTGAATTAAAATTTTCCAATTCCAGACTTCGATGCAAAAAACTTCTGGAATTGGTCCGATTTCCAGTCCTACTTGGATTGCACTTTAGTGTTTACTATAGTCGCCTCGTTACTGATGTACCTGTTCATTGAGTATATAGTTTTCGTCGAACTCATTGGATTTTTGGCTGTATTTACTGAGGCCATGCTTGGGATGCCTCAACTTATCAAAAACTATCGAAGCAATTCCACCGAAGGAATGAGGTGAGAACTATTTTATTTTGATAATTTTAGATTCACTATACATATACAATAGAATACAATCGAAACTCTTTTACGTCATACATTGAGAAGGTGAGAAGAATCAGGGTTAAGATTAAGCTTTATACAACTGTTGGTTATATTTGTAAATTGTTGTTACATTGTTTCCAAAATCTCCCACCCGACAAATACGTTTTTTCTAGCGGATTGATTCTTAATTTTGCAATATGCTAAAATTATTTTCAACTATACCGACTTCAACTTTCGTTTTTTAATTGGTACACCCAAATTATCTATTTAATTCTGCATTAAATTTGCAATCGTTTGATAATCCATTGTTGATCATTGATAGTTGCACTATCATTGACTGAAAATGTTATTGTTCTTGGGAAAACTTTCAATTACAAAGAGCATTTTAAAAATGAATTTCTTAGAAATGCAAGAGATTGCAATCTGCTTTTCTCGTCCGCTGTTAGATAAGGAAATAGGTTTACGTTTTCTTAGTTTTATTAGCTGGTCAAATGTATTTTCTGCAAGTGATCAAAGTTCAAATATTTCAATTTACTAAAATTATTATTGAAGTGATAACTTTTTATGGGAGGGTGAACCGATTTTTCTCGGTCACGGCGAGCCGTAACGGCGGCTCAGGACGCACATATGCACTTTGAATTCGACATTTTTCTCTTAGTGCGGGTGCATCTGTCGATCTGATAAACTTTTCAAATACACATTGCGTTATTAAACTGATTTGAGTGTGATATTAGTGTGTTCGGCGCAGTTTATTTTATAACGCTGATAACAATGAATCAACAAATTATCAACGGAGAAGCTGCAGATACTACAAATACTAGGTAAAGGGTGCTCATGTACTAAATGCCTGTTTGAGTTTCGCCTTCTTTTAAATTTCCAATTAAAGTACACACACAATTATACACACTAAAGCAGTTTAAGTGCAAAAAAAATGCGGATCGTTCATAAATTTGCAGAAAAATGTATTACAAACTTTTGAAAATCATCTTCAAACGACCGGGTATTTATCATCGCAAATGAGATTGCACATTGCCGTGCACTGTTAAATATTATTTTAAGAACTAACAATCGATGTTGTGCAACAAAATTGTGCCTAAGATCCACTACAATAAAGTTTTTGAAAAACGGTTGGACCTATTTTAAATCGCCTGATTGATTGTGGATGCAAATTTGTATCAAGAAAAGATTAAATTAAATTAAATCGTATCGATGCAATCCCGGCACCGATTCCCTATGTCTTACTCTCCGTCTGTAGTCCAAATGCTGCCCAGATGATGTCCTGCATTGTATTGCACGATTCGGTAAAATATTACTACCTACTTGTTTAGTGATTTTCATCGGAGACAATTGTTAAACCAGTCAAAGAGTTGTAGATAAGTTCTATATTGTTGAGGCGGTTTCATTTTTACAAACTTCTTTTTGGGTATTTCGCCTCAAAAATTTTTGTCTTTAAAAAAGACAGAATTTCCTCACGTCTTTTATTACAGATTGATAAATAGTGCTCCTATTTCGCAATAAGAACGAGTGAAATAAATAATAATAATAAATAAAAATAGCCTAAGTGTGTCGCAGGATACCCTCTAGGTGATAGTTCTTGATTACTTTTTGATAAATAATTCGTTCTTAAACATTCGTTTGTAAAAACAGTCAAAGAGTTTACCTCGGTTATTTCAGAAAACATGGGTTCCGTCTTCTTATTTTCTATCCCGCAACGCATTCTTGATGTTAAGACGGTACGAATCTCCTTTCAGCTTATAGTTGCAAAATATGTAAAACGAATTTATTAAGGCATATTTTCAATTCTCTATATTATTTCTATGATTAATTGTGTTTACCACGCATCAAAATGGATTTTTCCTTCATATACCCTTTGATTCCTTTATGATTAAATCTTCTCAATTTAGTTTATTTTTTTTAGCCTTGGATTAGTTCAGTTAGAATATTTTTTTGAACATACGCGCGATGGCTTACATTATGTATCACAGGATGTACTTACATCCTGTTTCTATGGCTCTTCCTTGTTTTACCATCTATTTTAAACAGATAGAACGTCTCCAATCACCAAAATTAATTGATTTTTTAGTCCTATTCAGATACAAGTTGTATCAGACGTTCATGAACAACATACACAAGAGCAGTCACAAAAACATGCTATAATGCGAAAAGTATTAAGTAATGCTGAACGCCAAAAACGATTTCGTGCTAAAAAAGGAGCATTAAGTAATAGATCAACACAAAGTAGCTTTCATCAACTGAACGTCAAAGATTATACAAAGCAAATAAGAAATTACTACAAAAAAATACAGAAACTCAAGACGAAGATTTTACACAAACCCAAGAAGAGCAATATGTACAACATCTCGTTAAAGAATGTTACATGTTGCAAAAAAGATATTTTACATTCAAAAGGAAATTAATTTAAATTTTACCTATTTCTGATCCATTTATAAATTATTAGACTAACAAGAATATTAAAATTATTATTGCCATCATG